TTAGCTCCTTTCTTTGAATACTGAGACTATCATGCATATAGGGCTAAGTACTGCATTCCATACACAAATCTTCTCCCATGGCCTGATCTCACAGAGGTAACTGTGGAGAACAGACAAATGCACTTCCATTTTTCAAAACAACTCACACAAAGTAACAGCCCTGACTTTGAATCTACTTTGCTTTAATTCTGGTTCTGTCACAAACTGGGCCTTCATGAATGTATCCTAGGCCAAGATCTGCCTGTTGGCAGCCTGGCACCATCTAGAAAGCTAGAGGAAACCAAATAATTGACTAAGGTGACTTCTAGTTCTAGAACTATGATCTTACAGGGAGCCACTGGAATTTGTAGAGCAGGGAAGAGAAATGGCCAGACTTGTCCTTTAGGAACATCCCTTTGGCAGCTGCATGGAGGATGTGCTAGAGGGGGGAGAGACTTGAGGCAAGAGAAGTAGTGCAAGCTGTTGCTATCTCTGTGTGGTACTGTGGCAAGGTGAATAGAATCCTAGGCTTCAATTCAGGAAGCCCTGCATACAAATATTGCCTCTAGTTATCTTCCAGCTGTGTGATCACGGGCAAATCACTTAACCCCTCTGAACATCAGTCGCCTGAACTGTAAAATGGGAGAAGGGATTTGACTAGATCAGTGGTGTCAAACTCAAAGAGAAATTGACCACATATTGACTTAGTTTTAAAATGTAATGTTATCTATGTTTTATTGTATTTTTATTTATTTTGTTAAATATTTCCCAATTACATTCTAGTCTGGTTCTGACTATACTTGGGAGTGTTGTGAACCCCATAAAACTCACAGGACCCATCTGGAACACCTCTAGACTAGGGGAACCCTAAGGGAATATCCTTCCAGCTCCAATTCTATGGGTCTATATATAGGCAGCAAAGTTTTCCAAACTCCAACTCCACTTTTCAGACAAATCATTGCCTACCTTTGTGAACCTCAGATTCCTCTCTAAAATAAGGGAACTTAGTTGGATGATCATCCATGTCCTTTCCAGCTTTATGATTTTAAGATTCAATGATTTTAAGCGGAAACATCACGAATACTTCTGGTGACTGAGGCAAGTGTCATGAAACATGCCTTCAGGTCAACTTTTTAATGCAAATTCAGTTATGCAGGTGAGCTCCCATAACACCATCCCTAGTGGAGAGAACAGTGTGATGGGGAAGCCAGTGAAAAGTTCTCCTAGGGCTGCTGCTGCTGGAGGAAGAGGGGAAAGCATCCACTTTGGTAGCTTCTCATTTTGACTAGTTATTCTTGTTAACTAGGTCCTTAGCTCAATTGTTTATCTGCTGCTGAAGGATTGAAAATGCTTTCAGCATCCTTTAAATTTAGGCACCCTGACACAAAGCCCCAGTCACCCTGCCCTAGTTGCCATTCTAATCTGAGGCCTAGAGAGGTTAAGCAACCCATCCATTGCCACGTGGCTTGTAAGGACCTGAGAAACTTTCAGAAAACCAGTCTTTTCTTTTTGGGGGAATTTGGTTGCAGGCTTAAAGTAGTTGATGCAAAGTATTGGTGATTATCAGGAGATGTGCCTATGGTTTAGTTTAACTCAACACTGGGAACCTCATGAGGCCAAAACAGAAAGAACTGAGAGACTGACATCTGTCTCTCTATTTTTGTGGCATTTGTACAAAGGGTAGGGACTTATTCAATGCAAGTTTATGATCCTTACTTACTGTATCCCTCTCTACCCACCCCAAACCTGTTCCTTTTCCTTCCTAGACCCAACCTCCCACCCACTGTTCTTTTCATATTTAAATGTGGTTTTTGTTTGTTGTTTTTATTTTGGTCAGGATTTCAACCCAGTTCTTTCTGATTCTAAGCCCAGCATCCTAGCCACAATGCCACAGTGCCCCCACGCATAGATCACACTTGCTCTATCTACCTTAGCAAATTGTTGTGAGTCAATTGCAATAATGTCTATGAAAAACTTTTTAAACTACAACTGTAACATAATACTGTGTGAATTGAATATTTTATTGCCATTATTATCCCAGATGTGATTGTTAGTGAGAATCAAAGGTCTTGTTCCTATCAACATGGACCCTCCCAACACTCCCACCACTAATTCCCCCCTAATCTGAATCTCCATTAGGTGAAAAAGATTTCATTGGGGAAAAAATGATCTCATGTTTTTGCTGTTTACTTTTGGAATGAGAACAGGGAAATCAACAGGAGGCAATGAGCCCCACAGAGGCAGATTGGAGATGTTTTGAAACACAGGTTTTGTTGTTTGTCTACTGTCTTCTGTGGCTAAGGAATTAGGTTTAGAGAAATGTATGATGCCCTCGATGGGGTTTCCTGCCCATCTGCTAGAGAGGGAAATTATCGTAATGTGTGGGCATGTGCGTGTTCTGTGGGATCCTCCTGTTTACTTGGTAACTCAGAGCTCATAGGATTAGATCTGGGCACCCAGAGGAAACTGTGGGTCACATGTGCACAATGACACCCATTTGGGTCCCTGTGGAGTAATAGACTGGATGAGGTCTGGGTCATAACTGACTAGCCAAGGGACCAGGGATGAGTGTGATGTTATTAGTGGGAGGATGGCACTTGAAGAAATCAAGAAATTCTTCTGATTTATTCCATGTTGGTTAGACTCTTAATGTGTCCAGTGTTGGCCATGGAGCTTTACAAAGGCTATAGATAAAGTGGAGAAAGGCCAGAGGTAGGAGTAATGGTTAAAGTGATGGAAAATAGATCCTAGAAAGAGATGCAAAGATTCCTTATAGCTCAGAGGGACTGTAGGTTTTTCAGCATTCATTCATGCAGCATTTTTTTTTTCATTGTTTGGGGATGGGGGTTGAAGATGAGCATCCAGATCCATGTTTTAATTGGTGAAAGAAATTCCCACTGAGGAAATTCCCTCAGAGACTTACTAACTGTGTGACCCTGGGCAGATCACTTAACTTTTCTGTCATTCAGTTTTTTCTTCTGCAAAATGAGATGACCTCTGAAGTCCCTTAGAGTTCTAGATCTAAGATCCTAAAACCTGTGATCCATCTCGGACAAGGGTCGAGTGACCTCAAAGTGATTTGTGTATAGATTTCAGGAGTTCTGTGAACTCAAAGGGGAAAAAATGACATCTTTACTTCAACACGATTGACTTCCCTTGTAATCTTATGCATTTTATCTTATGCATTTATAGACATTATTATGAGTAGGGATCCATTGGCTTCACCAGACCTCTGAAGGAGTCCAATGTACCACAAAGATTAAGATTCTCATATCTGGAGGATTTCCCTGTGTCCTGGTCTGCTTTTACCTACCTGGGACACCAGCTTATTTCTTCACATTCCTGGGCACCAGGGAGGAGGGGGAGACAATGTGTGAGTAAAGCTGGGAGGGGCAAAGGGAGAGTAGGAGAGAGGGTACACATGACTTTCAGGTCCCAACTTCAAGTGTCAAAAGGCAATTTCATGCCTGCTGACACAATTTGGAGAAGCAGAAATAATAGATGCTGACAGCTAATGGGACCATAGCTCTTACTGAAGAGCTATTTGCTGATTGGATTTAATTCCTCCCTCCTCTTAATGGAGGCAAAACTCTCTAGTGGTCTAACAATGTCTGGGCTCAGCCACATACCCCTCCCTGAGATAATGAAACTCTCTGTTTAATCAGTGAACCGTATCATGAAATACTTTATCAATCATCTTGCTTATAGCTTACCAGAGCATGGAGTTTTTCCAACTTTTTTTTTTATCATTTTAACATCCATTATCTCATTTGAGTCTCTCCATAACCCTATGAAATAGGCAAGACAGGGATTACTGTGACCATTTTATAGGTGAGGAAACCAAAATTCAGACAAGGGAAGTGACTAGCTCCAGGGCTCCTATGAGAGAGACATAGCAGGATTATTCCCATTCTACAGATGACAAAACTGAGGTCCAGCAATGGGAATATGGCCTGCCTACATGGTCACATAGACTGAGGGTCAAAGTTAGGAATTTAATTTAATTTTCCTGACTCTTAGTTTAATATTCTTTGTACTGTGCCATACTGTTGATTAACAATCATACTAACAAGTTATTGATATTAATAATAAGCAAATATTAATAACAAGTTATTTTATCTGCCTGTACCATAGTTTGCAAAAAATTAAAGATAAAATTATAATAATGGATAGCATCTCATCCCAAGACCATTTTATCTAAACTTCAATAAAAATGAGAATGAGATAATTTTTATAATAACAAAATCATATATATAGGACTTTAAGGTTTGTAAGGCACTTTTATACACTTTTTTTAAGGCAGTTGGGGTTAAGTGACTTGCCCAGGGTCACACAGCTAGTAAGTGTCAAGTGTTTGGTCTGAGGCCAGATTTGAACTCAGGTCCTCCTGACTTCAGGGCCGGTGCTCTATCCACTGCGCAACCTAGCTGCCCCCACTTTTATATACTTGATCAACATTCCAATCAACAAGCTTTTATTAAATATTTACCTATTATAAGTGCTATACATTAACTCCTCACAAGTCCAGTCAACAATCCAGGCATTGTGTTAATCACTGGAGATAAGAAGATAAGCCCGAAAAAAATGATAAGGCTGTGAGGCAGATCTTAAGAATATCCCAGTTTTACAGATAAGGAAACCAGAGCTCAAAAAGTTTAAGTGACTTGCTCAGGATCAGACAGCTAAAAAGTGGCTGAGTCAGGATTTGAACCCAGGTCTAACATCATAAGGCTCTTAAAGCTATGTAAACAAACAAACAAACAAACAAATGAATAGATAAATGAATTAATAAATAAATATAAAATCTCATTTGTGCCTTGTAACTACCATTTGCAGGAAGCACTACAGGCATTATTATTCCTATTTTACAGCCAAGGAAACTAAAGCTCAGATACGTGTTCTGGTCAGTCATTTTCCCCAGCATAATTTCTCTTGGGGTTTTTAGCATCTTCATACAAGGACTTGTTTTCATCTGTTCAGTTTTTCCTTGCACCATTACAGAGTTTGCATTTGCATTTCAGGCTTCCGTCAGGATGGTCCATCCGCCCTGACCAGCCTGAGAAACCGAGAAAGAATGAAGAGCTCACAGATGAGGAGAAGGAGATTATCAACAGAGTGATTGCTCGAGCTGAGAAAATGGAAGAAATGGAGCAGGAGCGCATCGGGTAAGGAGGTGACATTTCTAATCAAGTCCTTTAAACCTTGAGTTGTGAAAAACAAACCCCAAGCAAGCTCAGGTCCAGGGCAGCTGCTCCATGAGTAGGGGAAACTGAGGCTCTGTGAATAAAATTCTACAGAAAGTTTGGCTTTAGGAGGTTGCTCAATAAGTCAGTAAGCATTTATTAAGTGCCTACTATGTGCCAGGGACTGTGCCAAGCACTGGACATACAAAGAAAAGCACGTACAAACAACTATATGCCAACTATATGCCACAGGATAAATTATAGGTAATCTTAGAGGAAAGGTGTTGATTTGAAGGGGTGTCCATAAAGGCTTCTTGAAGAAGGTGGGATTTTAGCTGGAATTAGGGAAGGAAGTCAGGGAAACCAGAAGGGAGAGATGCAGAGAGAGAGCATTCCAGGCATGGAAGACAGACAGAAAAAGCCCAGAGTTGGGATATGGACTGTATTGTGCAAGGAACAGCAGGGAAGCATCACTGAATCATAGAGTAGGTAGAGGGGAGTAAGATATAAGAAGACTGGAAAGTTAGGTAGTGGCCAAGTTATAAAGAGCTTTAAAAGCCAAACTGAGAATTGTATATTTTATATTATAGGTAATGAGGAGCCAGTGAAGTTTATTGAATGGGAGCAGGGGGTGACATGGTTAGATCTGTGCTTTTGGAAGATCAATTTGATGGCTAAGCAGAAGGTGGATTGGAATGGAGGGAGACGGGGCAGGTAGAACAACCAGAATACTTGCAATACATTCAGGTGTGATGTGATTAGGACCTGTACTGGGGCAGTGGCAGTTTTAGAGAAGAGAGAAGGGGAGGGTGTGTATATTCAAGAAAAGTTTTCAAGGTAGAATGGACAGGCTTTGGCAATAGACTGGATATGGGGGTTGGGGTTAAAGAGGGAAGAGTCGAGGATGACACCTCAGATGTAAGCCTGGATGACTGGAAAAATAGTGGTACCCCACAGTAAAAGAGAAAGTTATGAATATATGACATGTGGCATACATTGAGTTTAAGATATCTATGGGACATCCAGTTTGAGATGACCTATAAACAATTGGAAATGCAAGACTGGAGGTCAGGAGAAAGGTTAGGGTGAATAAATAGATCTAAGAATCATCTGACTTTTGAGGAAAATACAACCTAGTCATGATTGGGATTTAGGGAGACAAATTACCTGGAGAGAATTCTGAGAATAGATGATCCACGTGGCCTTCTGATTGGGCTGGGCTTCTTCCTCAGGACCCTGACAATAAGGGCTAAAGGGAGGAGAAAGGGTATCTGTTGACTGGAGAGCTCCTAATAAAATGATTTAAAGTCAGAAAATAAAGTGTAGCAAAAAGACCACAGGTATGGGAGTCAGAAGATCACTATCTCCTGACTGTGTGATCCTGAGTTCTAGAGTCCCAACTCTGGCACCTACACTAGCTGTGTGATCTTAGGCAAACCACTTCTCTCTCAACTTCAACATCTTCATCTGTAACATGGAAAAGGCTGTACTATATGGTTACTGTCTGTGACATTCTGTTTTCAAAGGTCCATCTTAGTTCTAACATTCTGTGTTCTAAGGTCCCTCCCAGCTCTGATATTCCCTGTTCTAAGACCCCTCCCAACCCTGACATTCCCTGTTCTAAGGCCCCTCTCAGTACTGACATTCTCTGTTCTAAGGACCCTCCCAGCTCTGACATTCCATGTTTTAAGGCCTCTCCTAGTTCATGCATTCCCTGCTCTAAGGCTTCTCCCAGGTCTGATGTTCTATGTTCTAATGACTCTGACATTCTGCAATTCAATGTTCTTGTCTTCTTAGTATGATAATATAATATGACCATAGTCTCTGACAGCTATGTAGACACTGTTTTCACAGGGGTCTGGCCTTGGCTCCATACCTTAGTATGGAGGAAACCTTAGATTCTAAAGGGCTGTGTTAATGAAGTCCAGCCTTTGGCAGGTCTAACTACAATGAAAAAGCTTTGTGTGTAGGCTTGGTGATGGGCAATGTGTCTGGTGCCCAAGGACCCAACCCAGCTAAACTAAGGGAGGCCCTACAACAAGTTGGCCACCAGTGGAGGGATTTTCCCACCCAACCACCTCTCAAAGGCCATAAACTCTGGACTCTAATTTCTATTTGAGGAGGGAGTACCTATAGCCAGGAAATCTCAGATCCTTGAAATAGCCATAATAACAAAATAGTTGCCATTTATTTAGTGCTTTAGGGTTTGCAAAAATTCTCTGCATACCTTATTTCACTAGAAATGTACAAATCTGAGAGGAGTACTTTAGGTAATATTATACATATGAGGAAACTGAGACCTAGAGAATGGTTAACTGTCTTCAGGTATAGCATGTAAATTCTTTGAGAGCAGAGACTGTTGTATCCCCAGTGCCTGCCACATTTGGTGGAGGCAGGATCAGATCTATGACATTGCTGGCATAGGGAACTTCCAGCATGGAAACTCCCTCCACCAATGCAGATCTGCATCTGTTTGGCTACTTATCATCCTCGAGCCTACCTAGGACACTTGCAAGTTAAGTGATATCCAGGGATACAAAACTAGTATGTCTGAAGTGAGACTTGAACCCAGGTATTCCTGACTCCAAAGATGACTTCCTAGCCATGACACCATCTTGCCACTTGCCTGTCACAAAGTAGGCATGTAAGAAATGCTTGTTGATTAATTTATCATCAGGGATTGTGACAACCATATTAATAACTAACAGAGCACTTTAAAACAGACGTTTTACAAAATATTTTCTCATTTTATCCTCACAACAATGTGGGGGAGGTAGGTGCTCTTATCATTTGTATTTTACACATGAGGACACCAAAACTGAGAGACGATCACTGATTTATCAATGATCATGTGGCCAGTAAGCATTTGGGGCAGAATTTAAACCCAGAACTTCTTTGACTTGAGATCCATTGTGCTCTCCATGATAGCTCCTCATTAAGCTCATAGATCTAGGTTAGAAAAGGACTTTGGAAGTCTCCTAGTATGGTGGTGATGATGATGATGATGATGATGATGATGATGATGATGATGATGATACCTAACATTTTTATACCTCCTACTATGTGCCAGGCAGGGCAGCTATGTGGTGCAGTGTATAGAGCACTTGGAATCATGAAGACTCATGTTTCTGAGTTCAAATCTGGCTTCAGATACTTACTAGCTGTGTGACTCTGTGCAAGGCACTTTACCCTGTTGGCCTCAGTTTCCTCATCTGTCAAATGAATCAGAGAAGGAAATGGCAAACCACTCTGGTATCTCTGCCAAGAAAACCCCAAATGGGGTCATGAAGAGTCAGACACAACTGAACAACAACAAAACTTTGCAAACCTTTGAGTGCTATATAAATGCTAATTATAGTGATCTTATACCTAGTCTAACTCTTTACTTTCCAGAAGAGGAAACTGAGGCCTGGGGTGAGAGTGAACCAATGACACACAGGTGTTCATTTGGGAGTGGAGAAGGTCAGAGAAAAAGAAACCAAAAGAAACCTTTCACTTGACTAATTTCAACCAGCCCGCTGCAGTATTTCTGCCAGGACATAATACAGGGAGACAGCTCAATCCTCAGAGACATGGTGGAATCTTGCCCAAGGTGTGGGATTTGGAGGAGAGAGGAGGAGCTAGTGAATGTAGATAATGGGGAGCGACTGGGAGGAGTAGGGGTGTGTGGGGAGGATGAGCAAGGGTGGGCATCTCTCTTCCTCTCACTGTATTGACTAAATCTCCCCTTCTGAGAGGCTCGCCTTTGTTCCACCTGCTGTTGAGTTTTGTTCCATGGATATAAATTGGTGCCAGCTAAGCTGGCCAGCTGCTGGGGCTGGCAAAGCCATACACTCATCTCTGGCTTATCTCTACATACCCAGGCATCTGTCTCCAAGCACTGCCACTGTTTAGGGCCGATGGGGTTCCTTGGACAGAAAATTATGTTATTCACCAGGAGAGACGGGAAATGTTTGATTTTTCTTCCTCTGAATCATGTATGCCCAGCAGTCAGCCAACCCCAGGAGATTTTGGACCCAGTAGAAAAGAACAAATCTTCTACAAACATTCTCTCCTCAACCTGGATTCTTCCCTCATCCACTAACTGGGTTAAGCTAGTTTCCGTTGTTTTATTGGGAGGAAGCTAGGTGGTGCAATGGATAGAGGGCAGGGCCTGGAGTCAGAAAGACCTGAGTTAAAAAACTCAGCCTCAGACAATGTCTAACTATCACCCCAAGCAAGATGCTGAACTTCTATCTGCCTCAGTTTTCTTATCTGTAAAACTGGAATAATAATAATGGGACCTATCTTCCAGGGTTGCCATCAGGATAATAATTGTAAAGCACATAGTAGGTGCTTAATACATGCTTATTTCTTTCTTGAACCATGCTAGCCTGTTCTACCAAGCTAGAAAGGTTTCAAGTACAGGCTGACAGATGGGCCATGTTTCCATCATCTGAAGACCAGATTTGCTAGTTCTGGAGATACTCATTAAAAAGATGGTCTCAGGAAGATGAATTTTTCAGCCACAAAAGTTCTCAATAACTGTCTGAGTGGGGAACCTGTGGTCTCAAGGCCACATGTCAAGTGAAATTCAGTCAAAGGGCTGCACTTGAGGGCCTAGAGGCCCACATGTGGCCTTGAGGCTGAAGGTTCCCCACCCTTGCTATTTTCTGGTAAAGGTCCTAGTTATGATGTATGTATGATACATGTACATATATAATTCATCTGTGAGATGGACACCCAAGTCAACCAGTATATATTTATCTATATCTATATATATCTATATATACATATATATCTTGAATAGATACTGCAGAGAGGGCAGTGAGCTGGGCTCAGAGTTGACCAGGAGGAGAAGCAGGTGCTGGATTACCTTTGGAAGACTGTAGCCCTTTAAATGACCCCAAACTTCTCACTGAAACAAAGGCCCCTAATTTTGATACCAGGGATTTTCCAGTAATGAACTATGACCGCACATCATAAGACACCCCAGTATGAAG